ATGCTACCTAGAGCAATCTACACATTCAATGCAATCCCCATCAAAATACCATCCACTTTTTTCAAAGAAATGGAACAAATAATCCTAAAATTTGTATGGAACCAGAAAAGACCCCGCATAGCCAGAGGAATATTGAAAAAGAAAAGCAAAGCCGGTGGCATCACAATTCCGGACTTCAAGCTCTATTACAAAGCTGTCATCATCAAGACAGCATGGTACTGGCACAAAAACAGACACATAGATCAATGGAACAGAATAGAGAGCCCAGAAATGGACCCTCAACTCTATGGTCAACTAATCTTCGACAAAGCAGGAAAGAATGTCCAATGGAACAAAGACAGTCTCTTCAACAAATGGTGTTGGGAAAATTGGATAGACACATGCAGAAGAATGAAACTGGACCACTTCCTTACACCACACACAAAAATAGACTCCAAATGGCTGAAAGACCTCAATGTGAGACAGGAGTCCATCAAAATCCTAAAGGAGAACACAGGCAACAACCTCTTTGACCTCAGCCGAAGCAACTTCTTCCTAGAAACATCGCCAAAGGCAAGGGAAGCAAGGGCAAAAATGAACTATTGGGACTTCATCAAGATAAAAAGCTTTTGCAAAGCAAAGGAAACAGTTAAGAAAACCAAAAGACAACCGACAGAATGGGAGAAGATATTTGCAAATGACATATCAGACAAAGGGCTAGTATCCAAAATCTATAAAGAACTCATCAAACTCAACACCCAAAGAACAAAGAATCCAATTAAGAAATGGGCAGAAGACATGAACAGACATTTTTCCAATGAAGACATCCAAATGGCCAACAGACACATGAAAAAGTGCTCAATATCGCTCGGCATCAGGGAAATCCAAATCAAAACCTCAATGAGGTATCACCTCACACCAGTCAGAATGGCTAAAATTAACAAGTCAGGAAACGACAGATGTTGGCGGGGATGCGGAGAAAGGGGAACCCTCCTACACTGTTGGTGGGAATGCAAACTGGTGCAGCCACTCTGGAAAACTGTATGGAGGTTCCTCAAAAAGTTGAAAATAGAGCTACCATATGATCCAGCAATTGCACTACTGGGTATTTACCCCAAAGATACAAAAGTAGGGATCCGAAGGGGTACGTGCACCCCGATGTTTATAGCAGCAATGTCCACTATAGCCAAACTGTGGAAAGAGCCAAGATGTCCATCGACAGATGAATGGATAAAGAAGATGTGGTATATATATACAATGGAATATTATGCAGCCATCAAAAGGAATGAGATATTGCCATTTGCAACAACGTGGATGGAACTGGAGGGTATTATGTTGAGTGAAATAAGTCAAACAGAGAAAGACATGTATCATATGATCTCACTGATATGAGGAATTCTTAATCGCAGGAAACAAACTGAGTGTTGTTGGAGTGGGGGGTGGGGTGGGAGGGATGGGGTGACTGGGTGATAGACACTGGGGAGTGTATGTGCTCTGGTAAGCGCTGTGAATTGTGCAAGACTGTTGAATCTCAGATCTGTACCTCTGAAACAAATAATGCAATATATGTTAAGAAAAAAAAAAAGAAGAAGAAGAAGAAGAAGGTAGCAGGAGGGGAAGAATGAAGCGGGGGAAATCGGAGGGGTAGACGAACCATGAGAGACGATGGACTTTGAAAAACAAACAGGGTTCTAGAGGGGAGGGGGGTGGGAGGATGGGTTAGCCTGGTGGTGGGTATTTAGGAGGGCACATTCTGCATGGAGCACTGGGTGTTGTGCACAAACAATGAATCATGGAACACTTCATCTAAAACTAATGTTGTAATGTAAGGGGATTAACATAAGAATAAAAAAATTAAAAAAAAAAAAAAAAAAAAGAGTAACAACCACTAAATCCAAATTTTATGTATCCACCAAATGTTATTACAGTATAAGATATTAAGATACTCCAGGTTTCTTTTTAAAATATATTTTAGTAAACTCTTGCTTCCTTCCTCCATTGAAAAATTACATATAAAGCATCTCCTCTGTGGCAGACTCTAGGCTAGGCCCTGGGGCTACAAGACATCAAAGACAAAGACACACTTATAGACAGGTATTGATCTACAACCATCAGAAGATACCATGGCATCTTCATGACTCAATAGCCCTCACCTCCTTCAACTATTAACTGACTACTTTGTCTTCCATGTGTGATACTGAGGATACAGTGGTTAACCAAGATTGAGAAAGGGGTCCTTCCTTCATGGAACTTGCAGTCTAATTGAAATTCCCTCCTGACACTGCTTGGAATAGAAATTCAAAGAATTTTATATATTCAGGGAGAAAGAGCATATGCATTCATTAGGCAGCTGAGAGAAAAGGAGTCAGGAAAGCAGCTAAGATCTGCCTTGAGAAGTACGTTGGTAGTATTCCTTTTCCTTAGAGAGGAGTGTGGAAAAGAAGCCAGAACTGCCCCTAACTAGCTCCTGACACCTTGCTCTGAGGTGATAGATAGAGAGGATTGAAAGACTCGGTCTGGATTCTTACAGAAACAGGACCTTTTTCTTTCTTTTTTTAATTTTATTTAATTTTATTATGTTAGTCACCATACAATACATCATTAGTTTTTGATGTAGTGTTCCATGATTCATTGTTTTCGTAAAACACCCTGTGCTCCATGCAGTATGTGCCCTCCTTAATACCCAACACCGGGCTAACCCATCCCCCCACCCCCTCCCCTCTAAAACCCTGTTTGTTTCTCAGAGTCCATAGACTTTCATGGTTCATCTCCCCCTCTGATTCCCCCCTTCATTTTTCCCTTCCTTCTCCTAATGTCCTCCATACTATTCCTTATGTTCCACAAATAAGTGAAACCATATGATAATTGACTTTCTCTGCTTGACTTATTTCGCTTAGCAGAATCTCCTCCAGTCCCATCCATGTTGATGTAAAAGTTGGGTATTCATCCTTTCTGATGGCTGAGTAATATTCCATTGTATATATGGACCACATCTTCTTTATCCATTCATCTGTTGAAGGGCATCTCAGCTCTTTCCACAGTTTGGCTATTGCGGACATTGCTGCTGTGAACATTGGGGTGCATATGGCCCTTCTTTTCACTACATCTGTGTCTTTGGGGTAAATACACAGGAGTGCAATTGCTGGGTCATAGGGTAGCTCTATTTTTAAATTTTTGAGGAACTTCCACACTGTTTTCCAAAGTGGCTGTACCAACTTGCATTCCCACCAAGAGTGTAAGAGGGTTCCCCTTTCTCCACAACCTCTCCAACATTTGTTGTTTCTTTCCCTGTCCATTTTGGCCATTCTAACTGGTGTAAGGTGATATCTCAGTGTGGTTTTGATTTGAATTTCCCTGATGGCTAATGATGATGAACATTTTTTCATGTGTCTGTTAGCCATTTGTATGTCTTCTTTTGAGAAGTGTCTGTTCATGTCTTCTGCCCATTTTTTGACTTGATTATTTGTTTTCTCAGTGTTGAGTTTGAGAAGTTCCTTACAGATCTTGGATGTCAGCCCTTTGTCTGTAGTTTCATTTGCAGTATCCTCTCCCATTCTGTGGGTTGCTTCTTAGTTTTGTTGATTGTTTCCTTTGCTGTGCAGAAACTTTTTTTTTTTTTAAGATTTTTATTTATTTATTTGACAGAGAGATAGACAGCAAGAGAGAGAACACAAGCAAGGGGAGTGGGAGAGGGAGAAGCAGGCTTCCTGCTGAGAAGGGAGCCTGAGGCGGGGCTCCATCCCAGGACCAAGGGATCATGACCTGAGCCAAAGCCAGATGCTTAACTACTAAGCCACCCAGGTGTCCCTGTGCAGAAGCTTTTTATCTTGATGACGTCCCAAAAGTTCATTTTTGCTTTTATTTCAGTTGAGAAACAGGCCCTTTTTCTTGGGCAATTGTGGTGACCTGGAAATGGCACAGTGTGTTACCATTTTGAGTGAGAAAAAAAGCACTGTGGCGAAAGAATGACTTGGCACAGACCAGTGGTTTGTTTCTTTGGGTTAGAGGGCAAGGTCTGCTTTCCTTTAGAAGAAAGACAGTGGTGAGGCCTCCACAGAAGCCCCTTCCCATCTACTTCCCTTCCATCACCCCATGAGCAATGAAAAAACTTGGGAAGGCTACCATAGAACCTCCAGCGCAAGTGGTTTACAGGTACAAAGTTATTTAACTATTAAGCCTCTTTAATTAGTACAGAGTTGTTTTCCTCATGTGCATGCTGAGGACCATGCATATCTAGTTGCAGGAAGTATTGTGGACATCAGGAGGGGAGGCAGGGCTTGAGAATGGCATATGCACACACAGAGGTAGTTTGGTATTAATATGCTTCTCTTATCCATCACTATTTTCCCTCTATCTTTATCCCACCTTACCTTCGACTATTTCAATGCAAGAAACATGGTAGGCAATAAGATGAGAGACTTAGAGGAGAGGAGCAATAAAAGACTAAGATGTTTGACATAGATCAGCAAGTCAAACCAGAGTGGTTTTCCAGACGCCAAGCCCACAGGAGCCCAATTCGTGCAGAGAATTAAGTGTTGGAGCAGCAGCTTGGAGGCTCTTCTCTCATAGAGGGGGACACGGCTTTTGGAATAGATTAGAACGTACCCTCTTCTCTCAGTCTTGCACTCTGATTTCCCAACCCTCTTATCCCCTCCCCCAACCCGCCTATTTAGGTAGGCCTAGGACTTTGGAGAAGTGAATGTGTTAACACGACCCTGCGGTATCCTTCCGCACGATTGGGCCAGAGCGGATTCAGCGACGCCACCTCCCCATACACGCATGCGTTTCAGTTCAAGATGAAAAAAAAAAAATGTAGTCTTGGTTGGGGGAGATCCTAAAAGAGGGCAACTAATGCTGAGACCCTTTGATATTGGTAAGCTTCTCTCCGTATCGCGCTGCCTCCTCTATGTTCAGATGTCGCCCCAGCCCTTACCAGGATGAGAAAAAGCTAGAGCTCACCGACAGAGGGCGGAGTGGCGCTGTGCAAAGCTTGGTATCACTCCGCTTCCATCAGGCCGGATCCCCTTACACTGCGCTGTAGCTCCTCCCGCTGCAGTTTTGGGTACTGGGGACGTGGCAAAGCAAAGTCTGCGGAGGAAAAGGTAGCTGTTGTTAATTAGTCACTAGGCGTGGGTCCCAGAGGAGCTTTGGGGACGGGAGGAAGGGAATACGAAAAAGTGGCAGTTGTTTGCCAGTTCCGGCCCTTAATCTGATAAAGCAGGTATCGCGTCCTAAATCCCAGGTGCCGGGCCAATCCCCAGACACAGTCGCCGCCATTGTCTCGTGTCCTCGTGTCCTTCTGACTGTCCGTCCCTCTTTCTGTAGGGCACGGCACCCCTTGAGGCAAGGAAATAAGAAAGCTGCCTCTGATCCAAGCAGAGCAGGTCAGTGAGAAGGCGGGCATCGCTTGGGAGTGTGGAAATGGGTATCAGAGAGGAATGTGGGATACGTGATCTGGTCGTGGGGCGCGGGCGGTGAGAGGGAGAGGGGGACAGGGGTAATTTGAGTGGCACGCAACTATAAATTTAAAATGATCTTCCTAGCTTGATTTCCAGACACTAATCACCTCCGAGCGTGTTTGGGAAGGTAAAGGAGTATAGTAGCGGCTTCTAGCGGAGAAATGGCGGTTTATATGATAGGAGGAGGGGCTGCTGCTGTTGGTGAGAACAAGTTGTCAGGGGAGCCCTGGGAGGGAGAGTGTAAAAAGAAGTGTTTGATAATCAAGGCCCTGGATTAGAAAATGGTCTCATGTCCTGGTTACTAGTCTGACCATTAAAAACCGAGTCTCTTCCACTGTGTTTTCGTTTGGTCCTTGGATGTGTATCATGCGTTTATATATTTAGGTCTGTTCCTAAGTTTTCGGTACCGCATGTTTTTGTAAAGATCTGTAGAAGGCCGTGGACCTCAAAGGGAGGGGATAAGAAAAGGAAACCTGGCCTAATTTTTGCGGAGTGGGCAGTGCTTGGAGTTGGTAGATGGCTAGGACTAGAACAGGCAGGAGTCTGGGGGAAACTCCAGATCTCCTTTCAGCATGCTTTCCAAACAGTCCTCCCTTACTCCTGTTGTGTTGCAGAAAATGATAGGCTTTAGGGAGAGGAAGGAACCATAAAAGCCTAGATGAAATTTGGAGATAATACTTTTCATTGATTCCCAGCCAACTTCCATGGCTTGTCTGAGCATTCCATCTCTACTACTACCACCACTATCTTGCAGGGATGTTTGAGTTGTCTGTGCAGGAGAATTATCAGACTTTTGGAATGGAGCAGAGAAACTTGGAGGGAGAAGGAGGAAAAAAGGGCCACAGAAAATTTTGGCAAACAGGTACCTGTTTCCAGAAAGGATCAGTGTCCCAGGTGCTGATCTCTACCAAGGACTAAGTCTCCATTGTCTCCTTTGTGTAGATTTATTTATCTCTGCATTTGTGAATCTCTGGGTATAGACCCATCCCCAGGTCTGTGGAACTCTCAGCTGTGAAAGTTTGCAAATGGTAACCCAACTTGAACCTGGGAAATAATGAAGAAGAGAAACATGCCCTGTGTCTGTTAGGATTGGTGAGAGGGTAGATGGACAGGAGAGGATTAAGATTTAGGAATTCTATTCTCTTTTGTTTTGCCAGTTTACTAACCCCTCTTTGGTCCCTTGCTGATTTAGTTGTAAGTCTTTGGAAGCTTTGAGTATAGAAGGGTAACACTTGTTTTTCTGATTTCCCGCTGCTTTTCTTATTCTTATGCTTCACCCAGGCCAATTTTATTTTTTTTTATTTTTATTTTTTTATTTTTTAAAGATTTTATTTATTTATTTGACAGAAAGAGAGACAGCAAGAGCAGGAACACAAGCAGGGGGAGTGGGAGAGGGAGAAGCAGGCTTCCTGCCGAGCAGGGAGCCCGATGTGGGACTCGATCCCAGGACCCTGGGATCATGACCTGAGCCGAAGGCAGACGCTTAACAACTGAGCCACCCAGGTGCCCTCACCCAGGCCAATTTTAAACTAGAGAAATGCAAGAGCAGTCACTGAACAGTAAAATGGTGGGCAGCAGGGAGAAGGAGGATCAGTCCTGAATTAGGGCAGTTGTGGTATAGGACAGAAGGAAGGAAACACTAGACAAACTACAAATATAGGGACCAGGGACCAAGGTCTTTCTACCAGGAGGTCAGTTTCCATATCTTCCTATTTGTACTTGTAGGTCTGCTGTAGGGCTTGTCAACATTGGAAGCAAGGAAAGGAGGAGAAAATTACTCCAGAGCTGTGAAGTTTGGTATGAGTATGGAGACTTTCCCAGTAGACCTGTAAGATGTAGTAGTCCAACAGGGATAAAGAGCCAGTCTAGGGATTCCTTAGTCTCTCTCACCTCCATTAAGCTTTCCCACTCTCCATATTCCTGGTTTGTGTCTGGAAAGATTAGTAGCACCTGCAGTTTTGTAGAGAGTGTGAAATGAGGAGAGAGTTTGATAATTATCTACCTCTGCCATTTAGCACTGAATGTCCATACTCTTCTGTCTCTCTGTGCTAATCAACATAAGAAATAATTTGGAAAAGACTCAAAGCCCCCATTTCCTTCCTCCACCCCTAGGTCCAACTTCAGTGGCAGATCTGGTGTCCTTGGAGTGGCTGAAGACCACCACCCTCCACAGGGCTGCGCTCAGGCACACAGCCATTCTTCCCTTACCTGAGTGAGCTTCCTCTGCACGTTGTTTATATCATTGGCAGAGCCTGTAGTTGGAAAGGGGGCCGAGTGACGAATGGACTTTGTATGAAAACACCAACCTGGGACAGACCTTCAGTCAAGGTTGAGATGGGGTTGGGGTATATAACCTGGCCTTGCCTTTAACTTGGATCATAACTGGCTCTGAGGCTAAAGCAGGGGCAGAGCAGGGGCTGGGGCTGCCCTAAAAGCTGCAATCAGTGGCCCTGCCAACACTAGAGCCAAGGCTAAGATCCAGGCCAAGGCTAAGATCCAGGCCAAGGCAGTGGCTGAGGCAGAACTGAAAACAGGACCAGTGCCCCAGGCCAAGGCTGGGGATGGAGCAGTGGCCAGGACACAGTGACCTACACTGAGGCCGTGACTATGACAAGGGATGTGGGCAAGATGGAAGCTATGACTAAGAATAGAGTCATGACTGAGACTAAGGCAAAATCCATGGCAGAACCTGGTATAGTGCCCCAAACCAAGCCAAAGGTGATGCCTATGGCCAGGGTCAGTGCAGTGACCAAGTACGAAGTCAAGGCTGGTGCTGGACGTGAAGCCAGTATCAGGTCCTTTGCCAAGGCTGATGATAAGGCCAATATTGAGTCCAGGCCCCAGAGAAAGAGAGAGGACGGCATCAAATTCAGGGCTGGGGCTGGGGACAGAGCTGGTATTGTAATCAAGTCCAGTGATGAGGATGAAGAAAATGTCTGCTCCTGGTTCTGGACCGGAGAAGAGCCTAGTGTAGGATCCTGGTTCTGGCCTGAAGAGGAGACTCCTTCTCAAGTTTATAAGCCTCCACCTAAGATCCAGGAAAAGCCCAAGCCCATACCCAAACCAGAACTCACTATAAAACAAAAAGCAGCAGCATGGTCAAGGGCCAGGTATAGTGTCCTAGTCCCAATAGAAGGAGGGGAGCCATCCTTGCCTGCAGAAGGGAATTGGACTCTGGTTGAGACCTTGATTGAAACTCCTCTGGGGATTCGGCCTCTGACCAAGATCCCACCCTATAATGGGCCTTACTTCCAAACCTTAGCTGAGATCAAAAACCAGGTTAAGTATAGGGAAAAGTATGGGCCCAATCCAAGAGCCTGCCGCTGTAAATCACGTGACTTTAGTTTAGAGCCTAAAGAGTTTGAAAAACTCGTTGCCCTACTTAAGTTAACTAAGGATCCTTTTATTCATGAAATAGCTACTATGATAATGGGCATCAGTCCTGCTTATCCATTTACCCAAGATATAATTCATGACGTAGGTATTACTGTTATGATTGAAAACTTGGTCAATAATCCCAATGTTACAGAACACCCTAGAGCTTTAAATATGGTAGATGACAACTCTGAGTCTTCTGAAGAACCAAAACCAGCAGAGTTATATATACATCAAGTTTGTAAGGACATAATCTCTTACCCGTTGAACTCCCCTGTGCAACTGGCTGGACTAAAATTATTAGTGCACCTGAGTGTGAAATTTGAGGATCACCGTATAATTGCTAATTACATTCCAGATTTTCTTACCTTGTTAAACAAGGGAAGTGTCAAAACCAAGTTTTATGTTTTAAAAGTGTTTTTGCGCTTGTCTAAAAATCAAGCCAATACAAGAGAACTGATTAGTGCCAAAGTACTATCATCATTGGTTGCGCCCTTTAACAAGAATGAGTCAAAGGCCAATATTCTTAATATCATTGAAATATTTGAGAATATAAATTTCCAATTCAAAAAGAAGGTGAAGCTGTTTACCAAGGAAGAGTTCACTAAATCTGAGCTTATTTCCATATTCCAGGAAGCAAAAGAGTTTGGTCAGAAACTCCAAGACTTAGCAGAGCACAGTGATCCTGAGGTGAGAGATAAAGTTATACGATTAATACTCAAACTCTGAATGGCTGTATGTTCTCACAAAACCATGAACAATTTTTTTGGTGTTGTAATATGAAGCCACGCGTATTATAATTGTAAGTTCAATATTTATGTTATTTGTATTGATTGAAGGAGGCAACCTTATGGATACCAAATGATTTTGAGAGCTTGAATGTGTGTTGATTTTCATTGTGCTATATAAGTGGAGATATTTTTAGTATTTCTGCAACATTACCTGATAATGAACCTATTCATTCTGAGTAAGCTATACTTCTGTGCTTTATATTGACATAAGTGTATTCATTTGAGACTTTATTTACATGTTAATAAAGTTGCATGCTAAAACTGGTGAAAACATTGTCCTAGTTCTTCAGTTGAAGTCTAGTCAGAAGGATAAAGCACAATTACCACAAAGACGATAAAGGGCACTGTCTGTGTGTGTAGGAGGGTACAAACAAAACAAGTTTACACTGGTAGATCCTTTAGTTTCAACATGTTCGAAGAATGGAATCACTCCATACAAGAAGACAGGACCGTGCTACTAGATGACATCTGGGCAGATCTGGGGAAAGGGGTGAGGACACAGACCTAGGAGAAAAGGAACACAGATTCTTTCATTCCAGTCTGAGTCCCAGCACTTGGGTTCACCCTTTAACATAGGATTTCTCATCAGGATATCTTGAAGCTTTTTAATTCCCAGAAGGATTCCTGGTTCTCACTCCCATTCAGCAAAGCCATAGAAATATGGTTCTGAAAGGACCCAGCCCCACCATGCCCTCAAACTCTGGGTACCCCCATCAAGGTGCCAGGTTTACTGCTTCATTCCCTGTAGTCCTGGACCTCAGAGGAAGGTCTTCCTGGAGACCAACTGCAGAAGCTGCTTCATGGATAGTCATGCCTTGGTGACTGTTTACTCTCATCCTTGCTTTTGTTTGCTGGCCAATGCTTTGGGCTTTGTAATTTGCACCTATCCTTGGTGGTAGCACCTTGTTTGTGCTGATCCCTTTTGGCCAGAGTTCGTCGAGCTGAGCTCAGTGAGATAGCTACAGGATTCCAAAGTCCTTTAGGGGTGTGTAGTTAGGAAGAAATTAATTTCCCTAATTCCATTATCCTATCTATCTATTTGTGCAGTTTACAGAGCCGAAGCCATGTGGTCTATACTGCTTCAGGTCCTCCTGTTTATACTTAACAAAAGCTAGGCTAGGGGTTACTGAAATAGAATGCCAGAGTATAGATTGGGATCTGGGGTTACCTCTGCCTCCTTTGCTGTTACTGTCCCCTTTCCTTTACTGCCAAGAATTGGGAAATATAGATATTAGGATCAGTGTACAAATACTAGTCTTTCTTTTGAACTTCCTCTTGCTCCTAATTTTTGTATTTGGGGAAAGGCCTAAACTGAAATATCTCAACAAGGTTTCAGGTACTCCTAGTTTTAGAAGCCATGCCTAGTTTTTCGGTTAAGGTCAGTCCTGAACCTATTTTTTATACATCTAGGAGTTAAAATGAAGGACAACTGGCTACACATGTGCACTAAAGGGTGAAAAAAGTAGGATTTTTGCAATGTGCTGTTGCAGCTCAGATGATTTTTGAAGTTCTTTGTAATTTTTTTTTTTTAAGTAGGCTCCGCGCCGGTGTGGAGCCCAACACAGGACTTGAACTCACGACCCTGAGATCAAGACCTGAGCTGAGATCAAGAGTTGGATGCTCAACCTACTGAGACACCCAGGAGCCTGTTTATAATTTGTTTTTTAATCCCCTGGAATTCCAGCTATGTGTACTAATTTCAGAGTTGGGGTCTTCACAATACAATTGGACCAGACCCTTTGGAAATATTCTGTGTCTCAAATGCCCTATGGAGCACACAATCAGCTATGGAATTTTCCATCGGCTAAAGAGAAGAATGAGTATGGGGTATGCAGGTATTTGTGTCAAAGCAAGAAGCTGATTGTCTCTCCTTAGGTGGGAATTATGGGAGACAGTCATTTCCCAAATTGTTCCTGGGGTGTGCTTGAAGTCAAAACCCTGTTGCTCATCCCTTGTTTCACTCCTTTCCTGGAAAAATAATTCAGGCAACTCCATGTGGTATCAGGGCTGATCCAATATTACCTCTCTTAAAATGTTGCTGCCTGGGAGTAAAAATCAGGATGGATTTCTCATCTTTCCTCTCATGAAGTAAAGCAAGTGATCTTCCTACAACACACCTGGACTGTTAGCACACAGTGACCAAACTTTACCATACCTTCAATTTTAAAAGAGGAATTTTCAATGGGAATTCATCTATACAATATCACCAAATTCCCCAGCAGGGCTTTCAAAGCTGTGTATCCTTCAGCACCTTTCCATTTTTCCCATTATATCCCACCATGTGACCTACATTCAAGCCACAGTGGGCTATTGTTTCCTGACTACTATTATGCACTTTTCCTGCTTTTGTGCAGTTGCTTAGGCTCACTCATTCTGCAATGCTTTTACAACTTTTTTTTTTGCTTTTTTTGCTTTTTACTCATTCTTTTTAAGCTCAGCTCAAGAATGCCAGGTTGTTTTGAAGTCTTCCCTGACATGCTTATCCTCCTTGTCTCCATGTTGGAATTAATAGCCCCTTCTGCATTTCCAAAGTTTTTTATTTACTCCTCTAATTTTAGCATTTGTGTCTTTTTTTTTATAGATTTTATTTATTTATTTGACAGAGAGAGACACAGTGAGAGAGGGAACACCAGCAGGGAGAGTGGGAGAGGGAGAAGCAGGCTTCCCGCTGAGCAGGGAGCCTGATGCGGGGCTCGATCCCAGGACCCCAGGATCATGACCTGAGCTGAAGGCAGACGCTTAATGACTGAGCCACCCAGGCGCCCCACATTTGTGTCTTTATACTATGCCTTGGAATCTTAGTAAGTTGGAGCTTGTGTTTAGAGATAGCATAGAGGGGGAAGCTTGGGCTTTGAGAATGTCTGAATTCCAAAGCCTGAACTTTAGATTATGTATAGTAATAATGATTATTAACATTTATACATTTATTAAGTGCTTACTATGTGCCAGATACCATCCTGTGTGCTTTACTTGTATTAACTCATTTAATTCCTAAAACATCCCTATGGAGTAGGTCCCCCAGCCACATTTTACGTGTGAGAGAACTGAGATACTGATTGGGTAAATAACTTGGCCAACTTCATTTTCATTCATGTCTAAGTACGCTCTGATTTCCCTGTGACTTCTTTGACCCACTGGCTGTTTAAGAGTATGTTGTTTAATTTCCACATTTGTTAATTTTCCAGTTTTCCCTTTGTCATTGGTTCTTAGCTTCATCTATTGTGGTCAGTGAAGATACTTCATACCATTTCAATCATTTTTAAGTTTATTGAGACTTGTTTTATGTCCTAACATGTTTGGAGAATGTTCCATGTACACCTGGGGAAAGTGTGTATCTTGCTGTTGTTTTGTGGAGAATTCTATATATGTCTGATAAGTCTAGTTGATTTATAACACTGTTGCAACCCTCTGTTTCCTTTTTGATATTCTCACCAAATGTTCTACCCATTGAGTGTGACGTTGGAAGTCTTCAACTATTATTGTAGAACTGTCTATTTCTCCTTTCAATTCAGTCAATTTTGCTTCTTAGAGATTTTTACTTCCTGATGATCTCTGCTCTATTTTTACTGTTTTTAATCCCTTTCTATCTATAGGTTCCTCTGTATCTGCATGGAGGGAAAAAAAAAAAAAATATATATATATATATGAAAAAGAATAATCATTTCTTCAACTCTTAACTCCACACACTTTTCCACCTATCATCCTATCTTTCTCTACCCTTTCACAACAGTGTTTTCTACATTTCTACATTGTTTTTTTTTCCTGCTTTCTCATCTACTCAGTCCTCACACAGATACAGTCTAGTTTCTTTCTCTTTTCTGTACTGAAACTCTGCACTCAAAGTCACCAAAGCTCTCATCTTCCCTAAACAAAAGGGACAATTTAATTTTAAAAATATTTTATTTAAGCATGGTGTTAGAGATTAATGCTTATTTTCCACTTTTGATGTATCCTTCCATGTGGTGGGACTTCATTAGAATGACAACTCTTTTCTCTGCCCTCACCCTTATTCACTCTTATTTTTCCATCTTCCCTTTCTCCTTGAAAGTTTGCCTTACCACAAAGGGTTGTGTCCTACTTTGCTTTTCCATAATATAAGTTTTCATGTGTACATTGAAATAGATCCCCAGTTTCTAATTGGGTGGGATATTGTAGCAAATTCTTGGATTTATTTTTAGGAACACTATTGTCCAAAATTCTAAGTCACATTCCTCTGTATCAAATTTGTCAGTAACATAGATTCTTTTATTCCCCAGCTTTACAGAGATATTATGGACATATAACACAGGTAAATTTAAGTTGTATAACGTCATGATTTGATACACATATATATTGTGAGATGATTATCACTATAACGTTAGTTAACACCACCATTCCATCACATGATTACCAATTTTTTTGTGGTGATAACATTTAAGATTTACTCTCTTAACAATTTTCATGTATGTAATACAGTATTGTTAGTTATAGTCACCATGCTGTACATCAGATCACCAGAACTTATTCATCTTATAGGTGGAAGTTTGTACCCTTTGACCAACATTTCCTCATCTCACCCATCCCCAGCCCCTGGCAACCACCATGCTACTCTCTATTTCTGTGCATTGTTTTTTTAGATTCCACATATAAATAAGAACATACAGTATTTGTCTTTCTCTATGTGGCTTATTTCACATGGCGCAAGGTCCATTGTTATTGTCCCTAAAGGGAGGATTTCCATTTTTATGGCTGAATAATATTCTTTTATATATACACCACATTATCCATTCATCTTGTCAGTGGACGCTTAGATTGTTTCCATGTCTTGGCAATTGTGAATAATGCTTCAGTGAACATGGAGGTAAAGATGTCTCTTGGAGATAGTGATTTTATTTCCTTCAGATATATATGTAGAAGTGGGATTGCTAGATCATATGGTAGTTATATTTTTAATTCTTTGAGGAACTTCCATACTGTTTTCCATAGTGGCTAAACCAATTTACCTTACCACCAACAGTGCACAGGGGTTTATTACTACCCGTCTTCCTCTTAGACATGGTTTTGTTACATCCTGCAAGTTTTGGTATGTTGTGTTTCCACTTTCATTGTTTTAAGATTTTTTGAAATTTACCTTTTGATTTTATTTTTGATCCATTGGTTGCTCAGGAGGATGTTGCTTAATTTCCACTTATTTGTGAATTTTCAGGTTTTCTTCCTGTTATCATCAGCTTTTTTAAAAGATTTTATTTATTTATTTTGACAGAGAGAGAGGGGGAGAGAGCCCAAGCAGGGGAGACAGCAGGCAGAGGGAAAGGGAGAGGCATGCTCCCAGCTGAGCAGGGAGCCTGATGCGGGGCTCGATCCCAGGACCCTGGGATCATGACCTGAACCGAAGGCAGACACTTAATGACTGAGCCACCCAGATGCCCCTATTTTCAGCTTAAAGAATTGAATCCTTTTGGATGCCTGGGTGGCTCAGTCCATTCAGTGTCTGTCTTCGGCTCAGGTCATGATCCCAGGGTCCTTGCTCAGCAGGAGGCCTGCTTCTCCCTCTGCCTGCTGCTCCCCCTGCTTGAGTGCTCTCTCTCTCTCTCTCTCACAAATAAATAAACGAAATCTTAAAAAAAAATTGAATCCTTTAAGAACTTAAAGAACTGAATGATGAATCCTTTCATCATTTCTTGTAGATCTAGTGGTGATGAACTGCCTCAGCTTTTGTTTTTCTGGAAAATTATTTATCTCTCATTTATGAAAGACAACTTTGCTGAGTAATGTGTTCTTGGTTGGCAGTTTTTTTTTCTTTCAGCACTTTGAATATATCACCCCACTCTCTCTTGGCCTGCAAGATTTCCACTGAGAAATCCATTGATAGCATGGAGGTTCTCTTGTAAGTTACAATCTTCTTATCTTTGCTGCTTTTAAGATTCTCTTTTTGTCTTTGACAATGACAAAGTGTCCTTGAGTTTTAGACAGTTTTATTAAAATGTGTCTTAGAAAAGCTTGTTTTAGGTTGAAATTTGGGGCTGGCCTATGACCTTCATAAACTTGTATGTCCAAATCTCTCCCCAAATTTGGTAAGTTCTTAGTCATTATTTCTTTAAATAAGCTTTCTTCTCCTTTCTTCCGCTCTTCTTCTGGGACTCCAATAATGCAGAGATTTTTTTTTAATGGTATCCCATAATTCATGTAGCATTTCTTCACCCTATTTCATTATTCTTTCTTTTTGCTTTTTACTGAAAGATTTCAAATGACCTTCAAATGTCTTCTTGTTTACTAATTCTGCTTGGTTGCGTCTGCTGTTGAAGCTCTCTTTTGAATTCTTCAGTTCATTTAATGTCTTCTTCAACTCTAGGATTTCTGCTTTTTTTAATGGTTTCTGTATCTTTATTGAACTTCTCATTTTGTTTATTTTTCTCTAATTTCATTTACTTGCCTGTATTTTCATGTAGTTCACTGAATATAAGAGGATTATTCTGAATTCTTTGTCAAACAGTTCATAGATCTGTTTCTGTAGAGTCAGTCATTGGAGTTGTATTAGTTTCCTTTGGTAAAGTCATGTTTCCTTGATTATTCATGATCCTTGTGGCCTTGTTTTAGTGCCTGCACATTTGAGGAATTAGAACCTCTTCTAGTCTTTATAGACTGCTTCTGCAGACAAAGCCCATCATTCAACAACTCATCCAGGGATTCTGGGTGGGCTATCCAGTGGTGTCCATGGTGGGCTTTCTGCTGAACTCTGAGTGGGCCGGTCTGGTGTCTGGGTAAGCAAGTGGGCAAATCTCATGCTTGTGTACATGGGGATCCACCTGGTGCCTGGGTCCAAGGAGGCAGGCCTGGAGCCTAGGTTCACTGGGGCCTAATAGGCACCAGGGACCACTGGAGTTGGCTTGATGTCTCAGCCCACAGGGGCCAATTGTGTACTAGGGGAAGCTGTGAGCCTGGCTTCACAGGAGCCAGCCTAAAGGCAGGGGCCACTGTGGCCGCACTGGTGCTGGGGAAGGCCAGGCCCCTTGGGTATGTGGGAGCTATCCTTGAGGCTGGACCACAGAGGCTGGCCTGGTGCTGGGGCAAGCTAAGAGCCTGAGTCCATGGGAACTGGCCTAGAGTTTAAGTCTGCAAGGGCTAGTCTGGCACTGGGGTGGGCTGGGGGATTAGGGCTGCAGGAGCTAGCCTGGTTCTGGGGTGGTTCAAAAGCCTGGGTCCGCAGTACCCAGCCTAGTGTTGGGCCCAGGTGGGAGCCTGAATTCATAGTAGCTGATCGGTTGCCTGAGGTGACAGGAGTCACCTGGGGCTGTGGGAGCTGGCAAGCATGAGGATATGCTGAAAGCCTGGGCCACAGAGCCATTCATGGCCTCAGGAGCCAGCCAGCACTATGGTAAGCCAGGAACCTAGGTGTGCAGGAGGAGCCTGCTATGAGCATGGGCCCACAGATACCACCCCAGACCACTGGGGCTGGTTTTTGCCAGGGTGAGCCAGAAGCCTGGGTTCATAAGAACTTTCTGGGATCTTGGTGCCACAGAAGCCACCTGAAGCCACAGGAGTTGGCAAACACCAGGATGAGTCAGAGGCTGGGGTTTGTGGGAGGCTGCCAAGAGTCTGTTGCTCTGGAAGCTCTCTGGAGTCATGGGAGTCACTTGAGCATGCTGGAGCTGATAGGCACTGAGGTGAGCCAAGAGCCTGGTTTTGCAGGAGCTGATTGTGAGCCTGGTATCATGGGAGATGCCTAAAGCTGTGGGTCTGGAAGGCACTGCAGTGAGCTGGGGGCCTGGGTTTGTGGGAGCCTGCAGAGAGCCACTTAGGGCCACAAGGGTTGACCTTGTGCTGGGACAGTTCAGCTGTGGAGTCTGGTGAAATTGGGCACTCACTTCACTCTCCATTTCCCATAGGAAGGGTATCTCTCCATGCTGGACTACTGGGTTTTGGGGGAAAGGTGATAGAGTTAATGTGAATCTATCTTTCCTACCCTCCTCAATACATCTTTTCTTATTTCTGTGCTTCACCCAGGTGCTGTCGTCCCTCAACTGGAATCCTTGGCTCTTTTGAAGGTATTTTTGTGCATGGATAGTTATTCAAGTTGGTATTTCTGAGGTGGTTGAGCACTAGAAAGCCCTATGCATCTGTGTTGCTGACATCACTCCCTACTTTATTATTTTTACTCATTTTATCTAGAGTATGGGTGGGGAAGAGGACAGATACTTACTTGGTCCCTCAAACCTCTAATCGTGCAATATCTTAATACATTCTGGTTTCAAAAAATTAAGCATCATAAATAAAGACCTCTTTGAATACAACTCCAATCCCAGTCTCCTTCCTAGAGGCAACACATATTGTCAGTTTCTAGAACTTTTCTATGCATTGCCTACATACAAAGATATGCAAGTATCCTGAGGATTTTTTAAAGTATTAAATTTTATCATAGTATTGTATTCTTTAACATTTTTTTCAATAGTATGATTTAGAGATTTTTTCCATGTAAGTATATATCTATTTTTTCTTAGTGCTGTATCAAATTTCATGTATTGCAATATCATTTTTGTTTCTCTGGGTGTTTCTGAGTAGACTTCTGGGTCATAGGTACTTTTCATTTTAATAGACATTTGAAATCTCCTTAGAAAGGGATTATATCATTTTACACACTATCAGTATATGAGAGTCCCTGGTTCCCCACACATCCACTAACATTTCTGAGTATTTGCATATTTAAACATATCTGCCAATCTGATAGATGCAAAATGGTATCACTTTGTTTTAATTAAAATTTTACTAATATTGAAGAAAATATATAAGTTCCATTAACTCACAGAAAAAAATCAGATGAAGAATATGAATTTCCCTTTTAAGAAAATACACTTGGGGCGCCTGGGTGGCTCAGTTGGTTAAGCGACTGCCTTTGGCTCAGGTCATGATCCTGGAGTCCCGGGATCGAGTCCCACATCGGGCTCCCTGCTCAGTGGGGGGTCTGCTTCTCCCTCTGACCCTCTTCCCTCTCGTGTCTGCTTCTCCCTCTGACCCTCTTCCCTCTCGTGCTCTCTGTCTCTCATTCTCTCTCTCAAATAAATAAATAAAATCTTTAAAAAAAAAAAAAAGAAAATACACTTCAGGGGTGACTGGGTGGCTCAGTCAGTTAAGCGCCTGACTCTTGATTTCGGCTCAGGTCATGATCACAGGGTCATGGGATCAAGCCTCGCATTGGGCTCTGTGCTCTTCTGTCTCTCTCCCTCTGTCCCTCCTCTCTCTCTCTCTCTCTCTCAAATAAATAAATAAAATCTTAAAAAAAAATACAACTCAATCTGTAAGCAGCTAAATGCTTCTTAGCAGCATTTTGGGGGCTATGGAAAAGTCTGAAAAGAAAAAATTTTTTTTGCATGAACTTAAGATTCACAAATCCCTAGTATGCCAAGAAAAGATAAGAAGTGCTAAAAAACTTGAGAGTTTACTATTATGAGTTATAAGATATTTTGTTATTTTAATTGTTTCAAATATGTGGAGATACTGTTCAGATAATTATATAAATCATTAATATAAATCATCAATAATTAGTGTGATAAATGATGATTTTGCAGTAAGATCACCAAACTTTTCTAAAGAGAAGCGACACAAGAAGAAGTTATTAACTTATTTATATGTGGGGCAGAATAGAAGGAGGGGTGAAACTTAAAAGCTGACAGTAGTCAAAGACCAAAAAATGGAGCCAGCCTTTTTGTTATACAGACTATAAAATATGTTTTGTTTACCAGTCATAACTAGAAGCTTATACAGATAGGTTTCTATTGTGATTGAAGCAAAATGTCAGTTTGGGTTGATCAAATTTCTCTGAAATACATACTTTTGTTCTGGCATCTTTGTCCCAAAAACTAAATGTATCAGAATATCCCGGAGTTGTAAGTATTCAATAAATCAATGGCATGGATATCTTGAGTAACTTAAGCATTGGCTTCACTACATCAATAGCAGGGTTTAGTGATTAATATAATGAATATAACATAATGAACATTAATATATTGAATACTGTTATGAATATATTGAATACTGAATTAATATAATGCATACTGTTTTCCAAAGTATTTTCCTTCAGCACTTTTTAGAGCAAAGCTATTAGGCTGACTCAATTTGGCTTTAAACATAGCAATATGTTTCAAATGATGCCATCACTAAAGTAGAAAGACAACTCATAGCATAGGAGAAAGTATTTGCAAATTATATATATGATATGGGTCTAGTACCCAGAATATAAAATGAACTCTTACCACTCAATAAAAAGACAAATAAAACAATTAAAAATAGGCAAAGGATTTGAATAGATATTTCTCCAAAGAAGATATTCAAATAATCAATAATGATTCAAATCAAAACCACAAGATATCAGTTCACACCCACTAAATAACTATAGTTCTTTAAAAAGTGAATAATAGCAAGTGTTGGCAAGGATGTAGAGAAACCGGAGCCCTTGTACATTCTGGTGGAAATGTAAAAGGGTACAGCCACTGTGCAAAGCAATTTGGCATTTTCTCTACCATTTTGACTTACTTCTTATTTTTTTCTGTATGTTTTTAGTTTTTTTTTCTTAGTGATTACTCTGGCAATTATAATTAATATCTTAAGTGTATAACACCCAGGTTTGAATGAATGTCAACTTAGTTTCAATAGTATACAAAACTCTGTTCCTTTACAACTCTGGTTCCCTCTTTATGTTATTGTCACAAATTAGATCTTTATACATTGTGTATCCATTAACACAGATCTGTAATTATAGTTTTATGCATTTGGCTTTTAAAATGCACTAGAAAAAAACCCAAGAAATGACAAACCAAAAATGCAATAATATTGGCTTTAAAAAAATTACTTGACTGTTTTAAAGCAGTTTTAGGTTTACAAAAAAGTTAAGCAGAAAGTACAGAAAGCTCCCATATACTACTTCTCTCCCACCACCCTTTCCTCCACAGTTTCCCATATTATTAGCATCTTGCATTAGTGTGATATATTTGTTACAGTTGATTAATGAATATTGCTACATTATTAACTAAAATCTCTAGTGTACATTAGTGTTCACCTTTTATGTTGTACATTTCTATTTTTTTTTAAGTTGTGGTAAAATATACATAACATAATATTTGCCATTTTAACCAAATTTATGTGTATAATTCATTGACATTAAGTACATCCACACTGTGGTGCAACCATCACCACTGTCCATCTCCAGAACATTTTTTGTCATCCCAAACTGAACCTCTGTATCCATTAAACAATAACTTCCCACTCCTCACTATCCACTTCTGGTCAGCCACTTAGGAGCACTATTCTATTTTCTGTCTCTAGAAAGTTGCCAACTCTAAATACATCATAAAAGTGAAATCATACAATATTTGTTACTTTGTGTCTGGCTGTTTCACATAGCTTAGTGTTTTCAAAGTTCATCCTTATAATGTGTCAAAATTTCATTTCTTTGTAAGACTGAGTAATATTTTAAAATATATATCACATTCTGTTTATCCATTCATCTCTGTGTATATTTTGGTTGTTTGCACTCTGGCAATTGTGAATAATGCTGCTAAGAACACTGGTTGTACAAATATCTGAGTACCTGCTTTCAGTTCGTTCGGGTATATAACTAGAAGTGGAATTGTTACATCATATGTTAATTCTGTGTTTAATTTTTTGAGGAACCACCATACTGTTTTCCAAAGCAGCGGCACCATTTTACATTCCTACCAGCAATACACGAGTTTCAAGTTCTCCACATCCTTGCCAACATTTGTTGTTTTCAGTGGTTTGATAATACCCATCTTAATGTGTGTGAAGTGATATCTCATGGTTTTGCTTTGTATTTCCGTAATGACTAATGATGTTGATCATCCTTTCATGTTCTTATTGGCCACTTGTATGTTTTCTTTGAAAAAGTTCCTATCAAGAGTTTGGCCCTTAAAAATAAACCCTTAAAATAGAGTTGTTTGGTCTTTTTGTTGTCATTGTTGAGTTTTAGGAGTTCTTTATATATTTTTGATATTAACCCCTTATCATATTTATGATTCAGAATTTATTTCTTTCACTCTGTGGGTTGTGTTTTCACTTTCTTCAAAGGGTCTTTTGATGTGCCAAAGATTTTAATTTTGATGAAGTCCAATTTATCTATTTTTTGCTTATGTTTTTGGTGTCATATCCAAGAAATCATTGCCAAACCTAATGTCATGAAGTTTTTCCCTTTGTTTTCTTCTAAAAGTTTCAAAGCTTTAGCTCTTAAGTTTGTCTTTGATTGGTTTTGAGTTAATTTTTGTATATTGTGTAAGGTAAGGGTCCAAATTTATTCTTTTGCATATGATTTCCAGTTTTCCCAATACCATTTCTTAAAAAGAGTATCTGTACCCCATTGAATGGTCTTGATACTCTTGTCAGAAATTATTTGGCCATATATACAAGGGTTGATTTCTGGCATCTCTGTTCTATTTCACTGGTTTATATGTCTGTTTTTATGCCAGTACCGTACTGTTTAGATTACTGAAGTTATTGTAGGAAGCTCTGTGTGATATGTGGTTTATAAGAAATATATATTTGGTCTTTATCCATGATTCCTGGCTCACAGCTCCCAAAAGCCCTTGTATTTTCCTGAGTGATAAGAGCTATGGGGACATCTTTTGTCATAATATTTGGTCTCTTGTCCTCAATTCCTGAAATCCACTTTAGAGCCATTAACATGAAATGGGTATCATATTATTTGTAACAAGTACCTTTTTACCACAATTGGGTTTATGTTGGTTTTTTTTTTAAGATTTTTTTTTTTTTTTATTTGACAGAGAGAGACACAGTGAGAGCAGGAACACAAGCAGAGGGAGTGGGAGAGGGAGAAGCAGGCTTCCTGCCGAGCAGGGAGCCCAATGTGGGACTCGATCCCAGGACCCTGGGATCATGACCTGAGCCGAAGGCAGACGCTTAACGACTGAGCCACCCAGGCGCCCCACAATTGGGTTTATGTTAATGAGGTGACTTTTGGAAAGTACCTAAGGATGGTGGCTGATTTCCAGAGGAACCAGCCATGTGATTAGAGGGTTGG